GAGGAGTTCAGCACAGAATCACTAGCAATTAAAAGTCACTCAGGACGCAAAGCTTCAGAGCCACCACCAGAGGGAGCTACAACAGCAGCAAGTCAGATTAACACCCTCCCCCACCCCTCAGAGCCCAAACACCTAACCTAGATGACAGCAGTACAATCATCTGTAAGAAACTAATAAAAGCACTTTTTTTTTATTTGTGAAGATACTGTACAGAGGGGTTACAATTACATGGGCAGGATAATGCGTACATTTCTTACCAAGCATTGCAGCCTCCTCCTTTTGTTTACCCTTCACATCCCTTCCCAGCCTCCCCCCTCCCCCTCCCCCCCAAAGCACTTTTGTTTTTAACCATAGTGGTTAAAAGAAAGGGCACAGAAGGTGAGTAATCCTGTTTTTCTTTTTTTTTTTTTTTTTTTTGGGTCCGGTTTTGGGGCCTGAACTCTGGGCCTGGGCACTGTCCCTCAACTCTTCAGCTCAAGGCTAGAGTTCTACCACTTGAGCCTCAGTGCCACTCCTTGCTTTTTTCTTATGTGGTGCTGAGGAATCGAACCCAGGGCCTCAGGCATGCAAGGCAAGCACTCTACCACTGAGCCACCTTCCCAGCCCAGAAGGTGAGTAATCCAGTGTGAGTACACACGACCACTTCCTGGGAATCAATTCTGGTTTCTGTTGACTGGCCAGCTCATTTATAAAATGGGGAGGGGAGCAGCAGCTACCTCCCAGGAATGATGTAAAGACTGAAATAGATATTCATGTGTCTCACATAGAATCTGACTGTGGTAAATAAAATACTTAACTAACATTAATTAGGATAACTACTTGCTAAACATTAGTATAAAGTTCTGCTTGTAGGGGCTGGGAAGGTGGCTCTGTGGTAGAGCGCTTGCCTTACATGCATGAGGCCCTGGGTTTGATTCCTTTGCACCACATAAACAGAAAAAGCTGGGAGTGGGCACTGTGGCTCAAGTGGTAGAGCACTAGCTTTGAACTAAAGAGCTGAGGGACAGTGCCCAGGCCCAGAGTTCAAGCCCCAGGACTAACAAAAAAAAGTTCTGCTTGTAAATTTTTTTTTTTGGTCTGGTCGTGGGACCTGAACTCTGGGCCTGGGCGCTGTCCCTCAGCTCTTCAGCTCAAGGCTAGCGCTCTACCACTTGAGCCACAGCGCCACTTCCAGCTTTTTTCTTTTTATGTGGTGCCGAGGAATTGAACCCAGGGCCTCATGCATGCAAGGCAAGCGCTCTACCACTGAGCCACCTTCCCAGCCCCTTGTAAACTTTTTTTTATTGGTACTGGTCCCCACACATGAAGTTAGGTTCTCCAGACACTGTCCCTAAACTTTTTTTGCTCTAGGCTGGCACTTGAGCCACAGCTCAAGATTAATTGGAAATTAATATACCTAAGAATTGGCTTCAAACGAATCTTAATTCAGATCTCAGCCTCCTGAGTGGCTAGGATTACAGGAATCAGCCACCAGCACCCAACTTTGTGTTTCTGTGTGTGTGTGTGCGCACACGTGCGCGCATGCATGTGTGCACATGCTACTGGGTTTAGATTTGAACTCAGGGTTTTCACGTTTGCTAGACTTTTTGCTACCTCGGACTCTGCTCTTATTTTTACTTTAGTTATTTTTCAGATAGAGTCTCAACCTTTTTTTTTGGTTGTTTTTTGTCAGTCATGGAGCTTGAACTCTGTCCCTGAGCTTTTGTTTTGTTTTTGTTGGTCATGGGGCCTGAACTCTGGGCTCTTCAGCTCAGGGTTAGCACCCTACCACTTGAGCCACAGCACCATTTCCGGCTTTTTCTTATGTGGTGCTGAGAAATCGAACCCAGGGCCTCATGCATGCAAGCCAAGCACTCCATCACTGAGCCACCTTCCCAGCCCCTTCCTGAGCTTTTTCACTCAAAGCTAACCTTCTACCACTTTGAGCCACAGCACCACTTTTGATTTCCTGGTGTATTGGAGTCTCACGGATATTCCTACTAGGCAGGATCCTCTGACTCACCCTCCTGAGTAGGATTACAGGTATGAGCAGCTGAATCTCAAATGTTTGTCTAGGCCTCAATCCTCTTTAATGCCTCCTGTACATTGGGTAACACATGATCCGCCACATCTTTTTTTTTTTCTCCCAAGTTAGCCTCAAAATATGATGCTTCTGATCTCTACCTTGTGAGTGGGTGGGATTACAGGAAAGAGCTGTCACTCAATCTTTAAACATTTTTTTTTGGGTGGGGGAGATGGGAAGGGTGGGAAGGGGAAACAAAGGAGGAGGCAACAATGCTTGATAAGAAATACACTCATTATCTTGCCCATGTAATAGTAACCCTTCTGTATGGTATTTTCACAATAAACAAACAAACATGTTTTTGGCCTATGTGCTAGTCCTAGGGCTTGCACCCAGGACCTGAGTTCACACAGCTTCTTTGCTCAAGGCTGGTGCTCTACCACTTGAGCCACACAGCTCTACTTCTGACTTCTGGTGATTAACTGGAGAAAACAGTCTTTCTGGACCTTCTTGTTCAACATGGCTTCAAACCTTGGATTTCAGCTTCCTGAGTAGCTAGTATTATAGGCATGAGCCACCATTCACCAGCTTAAATACTTTCCTGCCAGGGCTGGCTTGGAACTGTGATCTTCAGATCTCAGCCTCTCAATTAGCTACGATAACAGCTAGGATAACATGTGTGCCTCATCAGTGTCTGGCTTTAAGCATACTTTTTTCTCTGGGCCTGGGCGCTGTCCCTCAAGCTCTTCAGCTGAAGGTTAGCGCTCTACCACTTGAGCCACAGTGCCACTTCGTTTTCTGGTGGTTTACTGGAGATGAGTCTCATGGAGTTTCTTGTCCAGGCTGGCTTTTGAACCGCGATCCTCAGATCTCCTGAGTAACTAGGATTACAGGTATGAGCCACTGGTGCCTGGCTTAAGCATACTTTTGATAAAAATGGATGACTGAATAAAAGATCAATTAAAAGCAGTATTTGGTTGGTAAGTTTTGGATTTTTTTCCCCATCCCTAAGCAGATGTTCAAACCTAGTACCTTGGCAAGGTAGCACTCTACCACTGATTTATAATCCTCAGCTCTTGAAGTTTCTTCTTTTTTTTGGTTATGGTACTGAAGGTTAAAATCATGGACTTACATTTGCTAGGCAGGCGCTCTACCACTTAAACCATGCTCCCAACCCCCTTTTGCCTGCTTTTTGAGTAGGATCTCACAGAGAATGCTTGAGGTTGGCCTAGACAGAGACCCACTTAATTTACACTTCCCATAACTAGTCTGACAGGCATGGGCCATCATGTCCAGCCATTGACTGATATGGGAGCGTTATATTTTTTGCCTGGGCTGACCTTGAACTGTGATCCCCTAGTGCTCCACCTCTGGCATAACTAGGATTACAGGGTGAGCTGCTAGTACCAGTGCCAGGCTGACAACAGCTTTTTTTTTTCTTCCCGGTTGTGGACTTAAACAATGGGCCTGGGCGCTGTCTCTCAGCTCTTCAGCTCAAGGCGAGTGCTCTACCACTTGAGCCCCAGTGCCACTTAGAGATAAGAGTCTCATGGAGGGGCTGGGAAGATGGCTCAGTGGTAGAATGCTTGCCTTGCATGCATGAGGTCCTGGGTTCAACTCCTCAGCACCACATAAGCAGAAAAAAAAAAAGTCTCATGGACTTTCATGACCCGTCTGACTTTGAACCTCGATCCTCAGATCTCAGCCCCAAGTAGCTAGGATTACAGGTGTGAGCCACCAGCGCCCGGCCTGACAACAGCTTTAAAACCCAATTACATCATTGTTTTTATTTTGTTTGTTTGAGAAAAGTGAACAGTATCAAATGAGGTCCAGTCTGGGATATGTTGGGTTAAATCAAATCTCAGAGGCTTTAATGCCTGACTTCTCAGAACCTTTGATGTTAGTGCAAGTCTTAGACCTTAGGAAAACAGCCTGAATTTTGTGTTTAGAACCCTTACTTCACAGACTATATCCAGGGCTAGTCATTAAAGCAGCTCCCATTGGGAAATGCTCCCTCAGATACACTCAATAGGTCTGGCCACCCTCGGCCATGGACTAGTTGTGGCCTCCAGACAGGCTAGCACTCCGCAGGGCTGGCCTACCCAGATTTGCTGGAGTCTCCTTGGAGGAGACCAGCAGTTCCAGGGAGGACTGAGTTCAAAATTCTTCAGCCAGAGGGTTAGAAATCCTGGCCCAGGGGCTGGGAAGGTGGCTCAGTGGTAGAGTGCTTGCCTTGCATGCATGAGGCCCTGGGTTCAATTCCTCAGTACCACATAAGCAAAAAGAAAAAAGCAGGAAGTGGTGCTATGGCTCAAGTGGTAGAGCGCTAGCCTTGAGCTGAAGAGCTGAAGGACAGTGCCCAGGCCCAGAGTTCAGGTCCCATGACCAGACCCAAAAAACAAAAAAAAAACAGAAATCCTGGCCCAGTGAGGACTGAGTAAGATCTATTCTTCCGCCAATGAGTCCTGGCCCAGTGGATAGCTGAACTGAAGCTCCCAAAGGTCTAAGTTGAGTAATTTAGAATTTACTCTTTAGTGAAAGAGTAAACCAAAAGAGGGGCTGGGAAGGTGGCTCAGTGGTAGAGCGCTTGCCTTGCATGCCTGAGGCCCTGGGTTTGATTCCTCAGCCCCACATAAGCAGGAAAAAAAAAAAGCTGGAAGTGGTGCTATGGCTCAAGTGGTAGAGTGCTAGCCTTGAGCTGAAGAGCTGAGGGACAGTGCCCAGGCCCAGAGTTCAGGCCCCACGACCGGACCCCCCCCCCAAAAAAATATATATAATCTTAAAAAATGGAGGGGGAGTACCAGAAAGTATTTCTTAATGTGTGTATGTGTATGTTTTAATCTGTGGTGATTTGCAAAGATTTCTATTGAGACACTATGCTTTCCTTCAGAAGCTTTGGGTGGGTGCATGATGCAACCTGACTGGGGTCCCCACCCCCTGCTTCAGGACCACCACAAATCCCAGCCCCAGCAATCAACAACTCTGAAGACCACATCAGTTCTTCTCAAACAGTTTAATAGCAAATAAACAAAGGAAGGTACCACACTTGGCAGATACAAAATGACTTTTTGTCCGTGTGTCTGTGCAATTAAAACAGATTTAGGTTCCCCATTGGGACAAAAGGAAAAAAACACACAAAAAAAGGAAGGAGAATCCTTTGAAACACATACTCCTTTGCTCCAAACTTGTAACAACTTTTTTTTCTTTTTTTTTTTAATCCACTACACAAACTCTGTGATTAGGTAAGAAAAGCAGCAAGGGCTCTTCTTGCCTTTTTAAAAAACCATTAAAGCAAAATCCATAATTTTCTACAGAGTACAACACAAGTTCACACAAAAAGACATTTTCTTTTGCAAATCAAAACAGGAAAGAAAGGAAAGCTCAAACAAGGTCAAGGAAAAGCATTCTACGGCTGAATCACGACTTTGAGTTGATTAAATCCCGTTGTGGCTGCAGAACAGACTGTGCGTTTGGTCATAGTGGCAATTTTTTTTCTCTTCACATTGTGAAATCACTTTACATTGTTTTCTAGTAGAAAAGGCAAAAAACTGTACAAAACCCCTAGTGTTAAATACAACGTTTGTACCAATAAAAAACTCACACAGGTTTGTCTCCAAAATGTAAAGTTTCTTTTTTTTTTCTTTTTAAATTATTCACAAAAAGCAGCTGGAAATCAGAAAGGCAGCTGCCGCTCCAGGGTCTCAAATCCATTAAAACCACCACAGAACAATTAAAACAATCAGAGAGAGAAAAGGAAAAAGAAACAACATCCAACGTTTGGCATTTGGTTTTATCCACAGGTTTTCCCAGAGCTTCTCTTGGAATTGAAAACAAAATATATTGGCAAACAAGGCTTCTCAATACACAGGAGCCTCAGCGCCTCCTGCCAACAGAGGTGGCTCTGTGCAGTCAGACTGTGGGGCACAGCCATCACTCAGACTGGGGCTTCTGGCCTCTTTCCATCCAATCACCCTTCCAGAAAAATCAAGCAACTTACCATATACTTACTGGCCCTCCACTTGGCTGCTATTTCCTTCTAGTAAGAGTGGTCTTAAGCACAATACTGGGCAGCCTGCGGATCCCAGAGCAGGAGTTCTCACCAGGAGTTCTGGTGAGATTCCTTCCTCTGTCAACCCCAGAATGCATCATGCTAGAACAGTGCTTCTACCTCCACCCCATCTCCAAGTCACTAGCTGCACCATACCACCCTTCCCTGGAGAATCCTGTTTTCCCAGCTCTCACTCCTGCCAGTGTGGAATTCTGGGTAGGATCTGTCACAAATTCCTCCCTGCTTCCTCTTCCCTCCACAGACCCATCCCTGCCTTTCTGGCCTTTCCCTTTCCATTCACATTCATCCTCAAGTCCCAAAACCCTGAGGCTGGATGGTGCTATAAGAAGAGGGTTAAGTTCTCCTCAGGAAACCAAAGAACTGGCTGGCCTGGCACCCAGGGACAGAGCTATTTGGCTCCTTACTCAATTTAAAAAACAAATTCCCACCCTTATTCCACCCCACTAGCTAAGCAACAGCAGAGCCTGTGGGCAAGAGCCAGCATGGGGGTGGTTGGTACCCAGGGCTGTAAACAGTGTAGAGACTGTAGTATTGTGCTTGTCACCTAGGAAAAGCGCTGGCAAGTAGTATAGTGCCGCTGCACATGTAGGTAGCCTCCTCTGGCAGTAGGAGCACCCTCCCTCCTCTGGGTGCTTCCCCTAATGCCTTAAGCCTCCTGCTCAACCACAGCCACCTTAGCATTCTAGCTATATGCCTTGTGCCTCTCTCGGCCCCCCTGACCCTCTGAGCAGGGCCGCCAACACCCTGGCCTCCCTGCTGAGACCTGGAAGCCACAGGAGGTGACAGTCTAAGTGCACAGGCAAACGCTCTAAGGGCAGTAGAGGAGAAAGTTGCCACTTCAAAATAATACAATCTTGAAGAAAAAAAAATCAACCCCACAATTTAAAACAGCTTCTTTGAAACCCTTTTAAATCGGTCAGTTTTTGCACAAACTATAGAAAACAGAGAGGTGAAGGTGATATATACGAAGGTGTGAAGAAACAGCAGGAAACATGCAAAACTTGTTTTTTTTTCTGGGCATAATCTTAGTAGGAAAGGAAAATAATTCAAAAGAAAAACACAAAAACAATACCAAAAAAAAAAATAAAAACCCTCAAAGCATGACATTCTGCTGTGGAGACTGTAAGAACAAGCACAGAAGGAGCGGGGTGGGGCTGAGGGGAAGGGACAAGAGGGACCAGTTCCCCCGCAGGGTTATTCCAGGGAAGAGCCACAGAAGAAAAAGAAAAAGGGCTGGCTGGGGTACAAACTGCAGCCTTCAGTCAAAAAAGAAGAAGGGGGTTCAGCTGTTTTCTGCAGTCGAGAACTGGGGGGGGGGTCAGGAGGGAGGGAAGAAAAACAAAAGAATACATGAGGTCTCCTTAAGCCTCACAAACAAATCAGCAAAATGTGCTCAGGAGCCTCAAAAGGTTTTAGTGACACTTTTATTCCATTGTTTACTTCAAAGTTGTCTTTAAAACTAAGCACACAGAGAAACAAAGCCTAGAAACGGACTGGCTGTGTGTTCACAGAAATACAAACACCACACGGTATGTGCTAGTAGGGCTGCTCTGAAGACAATTACAAAGAATTGGAATCACAAAATCAAGTGGTTATCTTATGAAGTTCTAGAAAAATAGATTTTTTTATATTCAAATGCAAGTTTAAATATTTCCCCTTCAGCAGTCGTTCTAGCAAAACCAATTTTGGCAGCACAAAAGGGAAAAAAATAAAAAGGAAAGAAAAAAAGAACAAAGAAAGAAACAAACATAATAAAAATACACATCAGCATCAAAGGTCAACACAAGGTCAAAGGTGAGAGTTCAAGCATCAGAGAAGCTGAAGAGACAGGGATTTGGACGATGTACTTGACGCCACATCGACATGCTTTAGGCACAACGATGAACAAACGGCAGGAATCTAGAAAAAAAAACAAACCAGAAAGAGGGAGACCCACTGAGTTACACAGAGCAATACATCCAAACAAAGAGAGAGAGAACAGGACACTCACTGTGTGTGCAGCCCTGAAATGAGGAGGCGGGGCGGGCCGGGGGTGGGTAATGACAGGGAACTTTCGCACATGCCAACAATGGACACAGGGAAAGTCAAAAAGGACATGGAGGACACCAAGAAAACATCCAATTGCCAGAGACAGAAGGGAACCTAAGGCTTGGATTTCCTGCGAAGCACCCAACATAAAACAAAAGAAGGTATCTGGGGGAGCAGGGCAGTAGCCTCAGCTCCCATTCCCTGGCCAAGATGGGCAGGGGGTGGAGTAGGAGAGATGCTGGCTGGGGCGGGGAAGATTCTTCAGGATAGAGGGCCAGGGTATCCTGCCCAGTCCTAGGGGGACGGCCCTTTGTTCCCAGAAATCCAAGCCCTTGGCTTCCACATATGCACTGGCCTCTTCTGTGGAACCCAGGAGACAGTGATCTGGCTGCATTCAAGGCAAATCAATTTCATGATGTAACCCAAGAAACAAACAAACAAAAAGAAAACTACAGCAGAAAATACATTGCAAGTGAAACCTCCACAAAACAGAAAAGGACTGCTTAAGACTAGACTTCGAGTCTTCATTCTCTGAGCTAAGCCCTTTCACATGGTGAGACTGGTAGGGGAGCAGCTTCTTCACAAAACCATCTTTGGCCTGGGGAGAGAACTGTGCTCAAGGGCAGTGCTGCTGCTGCTGCGCTAATGCTCTGGGCTGAGGGAGAATAGAACAGAAGTGCGTGTTCTCACCAGCTGGCCGCCTGAGCAGACCAGACCCCTGCTGGGACAAGTGTTCCTTTTAAGAAAAGAGAACCTCAAGCAGGCATGAAGCCTTGGGATCTGTATCAAAGGCAGTGCAAAGTATCTTTGCCTCTTGTCATTAGGACAGTTTGCTTAGATCCCAGAACCCAGGACAAATCCACAGACAAATGGTGGAGGAGGGAAAGAAAGGAGGAGGAAAGGAGGGGAGTTCTGGCCAAGGAGGAAGACAGACAGAAGGTTAGGAGCACAGAACCGGCAGCACCCTGGAGAGCACAGCTCTCTCCTTTGCCAATTCACAGCATTAACATTAGCCTTCCCCTTGGGCAGGTGAGCTGGGCTGCAAATGGCCACACAAAGTCAGTAGTTTCAATCATACACAGCACCCTGTGTGTACAACAATCACATTCTGGATTCTACAAAATCCTGGCCTTTTCCAGAGATATAATTTAGGTAATAAATATTCTCCACCCCGGAGCTGTATAAAACTTCTATAAAAATAGAAACAACATTCTTGGTTCCAGCTGGTTGGGATTCAGAACAGCGCCTCCCCAACCTAGCATTTTTTTACTTTTTCTTTTTTTTTCTTTTTTTGTTTTTTTTTTTGTTTTCTTTTTATTTTTGCATTTATTTAAAAAAATCCCATCATAACCCTGGAAGCCTTTAGAACAGTTTTATCCTTTGAAACACAGGACATATTTCTCCCAGTGCGCAGAATTCAAGTTTACGTGGTTCAGCTTAAGAAGTTATGTTTCATGTTTCTTAGAGGACAACAAACCCAGGTTATCACTACGAGTAGGGAGCAGCTGTGCCAGCTTCAATGGGGGATCCAACACCAACAACTACCTGTACAACAGCAAGAGGGTCACTCCCTGTTTTTACCCACGGGGACAGTGTGACAAGGAGAGTGCCCCTATCTGACTGCAAAGCAAACAACCCCTTTATTCTGATCTCTGATGCCAGGGGCCAGGTCTTGGTTGCATTTCCAGGGTCCAAGGAATCAGTCCCTGGCTGTAGCTAGTAGCCATATTTTAACAGGACTACCTTTGCCCAGGTGCATTCCAACGGCATGTCATCCCTAGCTCTCCACCTCTACAACAGGAGAGGCAGAGGCAAAGCCTACAGGCTGAGAGTCACAGGCAAGGGCTGGAATGGGACCCTGGGAGGCAGCAGGGAGCTAACTTAAGCACGAGGACAAAAATGGATACAGTAATACTGAGGTAAATGAACACTAAATCCTTATGGAGGCTGTAAACATACTTTCCTCCATCCCCAAGGGCAGAAAATGGGGCTAGAGTAGTTAAAAGAGGAGCCTGCCAGACCTCTATGGGAACACTACGGCTGGCACACCTCAATCAAGGAGGAAAGCATGGATTTCTGAATCTTTCTGGCCACTGGCAAATGCAGTGCCCTGGCTTCAAGGGACCTTCTGATTAAGGTATACCAAGAAAGCAGGCTCTGCCTCCCCCAGCTAGATGGCTTTTGATCACTGCCCAGGAAAGGAGCCCTCCTTTAGCTAGGTGCTGCAAGGGCAGCTTGAATCTGCCCTCGAAAAAATTGTGGCTTAGGATGGAGGTGCGCTGCTCCTGGCTGTGGCGAACTACAAGGAAGGAAACCAGGCAATACTTTCCAGAGAAACCTGATTTAAAGGGAGCTGTGGGAAATGGGTCATGGTCTAATTTGATGTTTAAGTAAACTAAATATGACCTCTTTGGCTGCTTCACCCAAATAGCCACAGGCTAGGCAGGGCAAACCAATACCAAAGGAGGGCTGTGGGTGAGGTCTCCCTGCTTTTTGCATATTAGCAGGCTAAATTAACAGCTGCTGTATTTAAAAAAAAAAATTGCTGATCCTCTTTTAGGAAAGAGGGACAGAAATTCAGGACAAGAATCTGAAAACAGGTGGAAAAAACTCAGACTCTCCATGGCTATGGCAGAGCTTCTGACTCCAGCTGCCAGGGCAATAGTGTCAAGTCACCCCCGCTCTGCTCCAAAGCCAACCCACCTGCTTCCACCCTGCAGCTCTTGGATGTCAGTTCTAATTTCACCCACCCTTGTACTCAGATTCTGAGGGCCAACTTTTTGCTCCACCCAGTCCTCTCTGGGGTAGTTTGGGGGCAAATTCTGATCATCTTTTAAATACATTTCCCTATTCCTCCTCCGCCAGGGTGGTTTGGTGTTGGTCCTTCTCAACACACTGGTTACAAACACAGCAAACTTTAAATAAATGGGGGGAGGGGGAAACAACTCAGGATATGGCACCTAAACTCCAAAGTAAAACACTGGAAACCAAAGCACAAACTTGTCCTCTGTACGAAGCGAAACTCCCACAGAAGGCAGTAGCCGAGTCTTCAGGGCAAGCTGAGCCTGCGAGAGTGGCAGGGATCAGGGTCCAGGGCTGTCAACACACAGCCTTAGGGCTTCAAATCATTAAGGGTGCTCCTCCCCCACTTACCAGAAGACCCTCTCACTCCAGTCTCAGAGGGGAGCACGCTCAGTAGGGCTTGCTGTCATTCTTTGAACGCTTGAGCTGCACTTTAAGACGCTTCATGCCAATCTGGAAGCCGTTCATGGACTGGATGGCAGCTTGAGCAGAAACCGGATTGTCATAACTTACAAAACCTGTGTATCCAAGCAGAAACCTAGGTGAGGGATGTCATGGGGCAAGGAGAGTCTCAGTCTTCCTTATGCAAGAGATGCCTTATGTGCTTAGTTTCAAATCCAAATGTTTCCAGGAGGTGTAAAATCTCTGGAAATGTTATCATATGAATTAGTCTTAACAGTACTACCTGACGTCCACATAGTACTTTTCCTTTCTTTTTCTAGTAAGCTGTTTTCATATTTGTTTTTCCCTCTAGAAAACTGTGCCAGAAATCACTATCTAGGCTACAGGTATGAGAAAACTCATGTCCCAAGTTAAACAACAACCCAAACTCAAGTCCAGCTCTTTCTGTTGTCAGCCTCTACTCTTTTTCAATGGTACTTTATCCCATCTTGACACCAGGAAAGAAGTCAACATACCAAAACACTTGCTCAGGTTTGTCTGCTTGTCTATAAAAACCTTGGCAGATACAACATTTCCAAAGGGCATAAACATCTGCAGTAGGTCCTGATCTCCAAACTCCTGGGGCAGGTGGTATATGAACAGGTTGGCTCCTTCTGGACCTTCAAAATACCCATGGATGGGGAAAATATCAGTGTCAAGCACTATATATCACCCTATGCCAATGACTTTCATTCTCACATATATTAAAACGATTACAATCCTATGTTAGATGCCAGTGGCTCACACCTATAATACTAGCTACTCAAGAAGCTGATATCTGAGAATCATGGTTTAAAGCCAGCCTGTTCAGAAAAGTCTGTGAGATTCTTTTTATTTTTTTGGGTGGAGGGTCAGTTGTGGAGCTTGAACTCTGGGCCTGGGCACTGTTCCTCAGCTCTTCAGCTCAAGGCTAGTGCCCTACCACAAGCCATAGTGCCACTTCCAGTCTTTTCTGTTTATGCAGTGCTGAGGAATCGAACCCAGGGCCTCATGCATGCAAGGATGCAAGCACTCTACCACTAAGCCATCTTCCCAGCCCCATCTGTGAGATTATCTCCAATTAACTACCAAAAAAGCCGGAAGTGGGGCTGGGAAGGTAGCTTAGTGGTAGAGTGCTTGCCTAGCATGCATAAAGCCCTGGGTTCGATTCCTCAGTACCACATAAACAGAAAAAGCCAGAAGTGGCACTGTGGCTCAAATGGTAGAGTGCTACCCTTGAGAAAAAGAAGATCAGGGGTAGTGCCCAGGCTCTGAATTCAAGCCCCAGGACTGGCCTGGACTGACCTCTTCCTTTTCCTTTCCACTGTGGTCTCCAGTCTGCTCATGTTCTACCACTTGAGCCACAGCTCTACTTCTGGCTTTTTGGTGGTTAATTGGAGATAAAAGTCTCATAAAACCAGGTGTTGGTGGCTCATGCCTGTAATCCTAGCTACCCAGGAGGCTGAGATCTGAGGAACATGGTCTGAAGTCAGCCCAGGCAGGAAAGTCTGAGACTCCTATCTCCCTTAAAAAACTACTTAGAAAAAGCCAGAAGTGGTACTGTGGCTCAAGTAGTAGAGTGCTAGCTCTGAACACAGAGAGGCACAGGTACATTGCCCAGGCACCAAGTTCAAGCTCCAGAACCAGAAAAATAAGTCTCACCAATATTCCTGCCCAGGCTGGCTTTGAACCACAATCCTCAGATCTAGGCCTCCTGAGTAGCTAGGATTACAGGTGTGAACCATTAGTGCCAGGCTTCTTCAGTCTACTCTTGCAATTAGTGAGAAAGTGTTGGTCTGACCACTTACCTAATAGGTTCTTTTAGTTTCTGTCCTGCTTTTTCAGTTCTGGTATAGAAAGAGTGACATGCACATCCCTGACCCCAACTTCCCTTGGCACTCACCTTCCTTCTGGCTTCCAGCAGCACCAATACTCTGCTGTGTCAACAGATTCTGGTTGTACAGCGTGGGGAGTGCGGCGGCAGCATATTGCTGGATACCCGAGTAGGCCTGGGTAAGGGCCTCCATGGTGCTCCCAGTGCCGTTGGAAAGGCCACTGCTGCCCAGGCCACCATTTAAAGCAGCCATCCCTTGATTGGAAGAAGAGAAGGATTAACATGCTAGGCAGATTCAACTGATACCAAAGTCAGATCTATTTAGTGACATCTGGAGGAAAATTCACAATGCTCGCTCTTTCAACTTTCCCTTAGTCAAATGAATATTCCTCCTAAGGGAAAAACTAAGTCAGATTTTAGGACATTCACTAGGCCTTGCTAATGCTAATGTGGACATTAAAAAAATACCAGGCCCAGGGGCTGGGTAGGTGGCTCAGTGGTAGACTGCTTGCCTTGCATGCCTGAGGCCCTGGGTTTGATTCCTCAGCACCACATAAGCAAAAAAAGAAAAAAGCCGGAAGTGGCACTGTGGCTCAAGTGGTAGCCTTGAGCTGAAGAGCTGAGAGACAGCGCCCAGGCCCAGAGTTCAGGCCCCACGACAAGACTCCTCAGCCCCCCCCCCAAAAAAAAAAAAACCAGGCCCAGCCATGGATCTCCCTCCTACTGTCATCCTGCCTGTGGAAGAAAATAAGACCACTCACATTCTCTCAGGCTATTGTGCCACTTTCTCATATAGAGCTAGGACTGGGAACTATAATGGGTACAAGTGACATAAGATGTGGGTAAATGGGATGAGGTTGTAACTGATTGGTAGAGCACTCACCCGGCATGGGCAAAGTCCTAGGTTTGCTTTCCAATACTATACACCCATACAAAAAAGATGTGGGTGGGCTGGGAAGGTGGCTCTGTGGTCGAGTGCTTGCCTCACATGCATGAGGCCCGGGGTTCAATTCCTCAGCACCACATAAACAGAGTAAGTTGAAATGGCGCTGTGGCTTAAGTGGTACAGCACTAGCCTTGAACTGAAGAGCTGAGGGATAGCACCCAGGCCCAGGGTTCAAGCCTCACGACCGATTAAAAAAAAAAAAAAAAGTGGGTAAGATGCTAGCATCAAATAGTAGTTAACAGGCCTGGGAATGTGGCATAGTGGCAGAGAGCTTGCCTTGCATGCATGAAGCCCTGAGTTCGATTCCTCAGTACCACATACACAGAAAAAGCCGAAAGTGGCGCTGTGGCTCAAGTGGTAGAGCGCTCGCCTTGAGCAAAAGAAGCTCAGAGATAGTGCCCAGGCCCTGAGTTCAAGCCCCAGGACAGGCACCCCTCCCCCCCAAAAAAAAGAAAGAAAAAGAGTACATTTATTTGTTTTGTTGGTGATTATGGGGCTTGAACTCTGGGCCTGGGTGCTGTCCCTGAGCTTTTCAGCTCAAGGCAAGCGTTCTACCACTTGAGCCCCAATACTACTTCTGGTTTTCTGATGGTTAATTGGAGATAAGAATCTCATGGATGTTCCTGCATGGGCTGGCTTTGAACTGTGATTCTCAGATCTCAACCTCCTGAGTAGCTAGGATCACAGGTGTGAGCCAGTGGCACCCGGCTAGAGTACATTTCTTTAAAAACAAAACAAAACCAAAAACAGTTGCTAAAATTAACTGAGCAATATTTCTGTGTCAGACACCATGAAATGTCTCACTGGCATGTGACCCATGATCTCATTTAATTTCTTAGCAATTCTTTATGTGTTTTATCACTCTTATTTTACAGATGAGAAAATGGCTATGTAAGGGAGTCAAAGGTGATAGCTAGCTAAGGTAAAGAGGCTGGATTTAACTTAGGTCTGATTCAAAATTCCACATTGTTTCTAACTTTTCTGGGCCAATCAATTATTCTAGTGGTCCCCCTATGATCGGGGTTGTATAAAATGTACTACCTACACAAGGAATAGCCTTAACGATAATAAGAGATTGTCCCTTACCTGCCAAAGAGCCAACGTTGAGACCAGCTGTTGCTCCAGCTAATGTCTGCAGGGCTCCAAGTGAGGCTATGGGATTCACAGAGTTACTGCTGCTAGAACTTGGTGAAGACCCTGCTATTAGAAATCGAGGCATTAAACTCAAGCCATTACTTGCCTTCTCTTATAAACAGGAACCAAAGCACAAGAATTGATACTATTCAAGTATTCTAAGCTGTAAAAATGGTTGTCAATTATTACTAATTCTAGTAAGTGTCCTTGCAGAACAAACAAGAGAAACAGGAAACTAAAAGTTATGAGAATTCTAAGTCCTGATGTTCAAAGTCAAAAGATGACATTTGAAACTTTTGTTGCTGATAACCTGACCTTCTAGACGTAGGTGTTAGCTCTTTCCAAGAAGACATGACCCCTCTTTGGCCTCTACTTTTAAACAGGATCCTTCCAAGGCCCACAAAGAAACAAAGCTCCCTGTGACATGCTTACCTGAACTGGTAAGGACGCTGAGGGGACTGCTGGATGTAGTGAGGGCACTGGTACCACTAGGCGTGTTCTGAGCTGCACTAGCTGCTGCAGCTAATGCAGCTAAATTCTGTAACTGCATTGCATTTAACCCTGTAATAGACAAAGTAAAAGATTAGCCAGCAGATAAGGGTGCCTTCTGTTTCTTCCTGAAATGACAGCAGAAGGTTGGTCCCTGACAAAAAGGTACATTCTAGACATCCTTGTAAGCAAGATTAAAGGGCTCATTAAGAAACTTTAAGTCACTGAGTGGGTATGACTCAGTGGTACAGCGTTATGCTTAACACATGCAAGGTCCTAGGTTTAATCCCAAGCACACATAAGAGTCAGGGAAGAGAGGAAAAGAAAACAAGGTAATTTTCTCAGAGAAAAGCTAGCTAATCCAATAGCATAGCAACTTCAGTATTAATAAAGGGGCAGACAAGTAGGAAACTAAAAGAGGAATATTTCTGGGTATGGTTTTGGACTTCCTTTAAGTCACTCACTCATACTTTATAGAGGATTTATTCTGTGCAATGGAGGGGGAACAAGCAGAAAATGCAGCAGAGATCCAGAAGGCCCAAGGAAAATAACAGAATAGGAAAAAGAATAAAGCAATGCCACTTGAACAGCAGATTGTCAAAACACGTAAGGAAAAGTCTTGAATGTAGAAATAGGTAAACATATAGCAAAAGAGGAAAATTGAATTGTGATATTAGATATTGCAAACCATTTGACTAAATGGTGGAAAGGCAGATTTAGTGCAGAAGACTAACAGCATAAGTGAAAATAAAAATACATTATAAAATAGCAACTTCCCTAAAACAACTTCCCCAAAACTGCTGGAAGTATGTCTCAGTGGGAGAGGGCCTGCCTGGCAAGTGAGAGGCCCTGAGTTCAAATCCTAGTACTACCAAAAAATGACAACAGCAAAGTAAACTTCTCTAGGACAAAGTGAACTTCTTTCAAAAAATTTCAAACTGCAAATTTCAATTCACTAAAACTCGGATGTCTAGACTGCATAAAGGCACCAGGCAGCTCTAGAAATGCCCCTCTCAATGTCCTCACCAACTTTCCTGATGGCTCTTGCTGCACCTCGATCTACAGAAACACATTTTGCTATGAACCTAGCTACTTGTAGTAAGTTTTCAATGTATCTTAAACAGCAACAACAGTAGGAATTCACCTATAAAATAATGTCCTAAACACAAGTAAACTGTCTGGCTTCTAGCAGCTTCAGTGTAAGCTAAATTAAACATGGAAGCCATCTTTGACTCTTCTTCAATTATTGAAAGTTGTTTTATTGAAGAAATGATAAAAAGTCTTGAAATTTACTACTTACCAGAATGGCCTTTTAAAATAGAATAAAGATACCTTGCAGAAACAAGGCAATAATGAGTGAACTTTTTATTAAAAAAATTATTTTAGGGGTAGGAGATGGGATGGGAAGGGGAAACAAAGGAGGAGGCAACAATGCTTGATAAGAAATGTACTCATTATCTTGCCCATGTAATTGTAACCCCTCTATACGGTATTTTCACAATTTAAAAAAATATATTTTAAGGGGCTGAGAATGTAGCTTAGTGGTAGAGTACTTGCCTACCATGCATGAAGCTCTGGGTTTGATTTCTCAGTACCACATAAGCAGAAAAAGGCAGAAGTGGCACTGCGGCTCAAGTGATAGAGTGCTACCCTTGAGCAAAAGCGGCTCAGGGACAGTGCCCAGGCCCTGAGTTCAAGTCGTAGGACGGGCCAAAAAGAAAAAAACTAAATTTTAAGGGGCACAAACTACAAAACTCTGGGACTGTTGGCAGTCGTGTCTCTTGGCCTGCTGCTCCTCTGCTGCAGCTGAACACTTACCTCCCATTGGGTGGAGGCTGCTCAAAGTGTTGAGGTTCCCAGAGGAGGCAGTCTGCTGAAGGAGCTGCAAATAAAGCTAGACATTACACCAAAAAACAGAACAAGAGTGAGAGTGAGGGCTGGTTCTGCATCTGGGATAACTCTACAGCACAGCAAAGCGAGAGTGCAGAGGCCCCCAAAGAGAAGAAAGTCAAAGACAAGATCCCAAGCAAATACAACAGAAATTTAAGGTTCATGACAGTACACGACAACACAACTAAAGCCCTGTCCAGGACATAGCATATTCACTGGAGAATGAACTAAGTTCAAGTCCCTGGGCAGCAGAATGTAGCAAAGAGGACAAAAGTAGTTCAGGGATCTGAGCTATACTCAGCCATTTACACTAGACTAGATTAGTACTTGCATAAGAATGACAACCAACTGGGCACCAGTGGCTCAAGCTTGCAATCCTAGCTACTCAGGAAGCTTAGATCTGAGGAGCGATCATGGTTCAAAGCTAGTCCCTGCAGGAAATTAACCACCAGAAAACCAGAAGTGGCTATGGCACAAGTGGTAGAGCACTTGCCTTGAACTGAAGAGCTCAGGGACAGCACCCAGGCCCAGAGTTCAAGCCCCATGACCAACAGAAAAACAAAAACAATGCAACCATTTCTAGCTTCCCCTCTCAAGTTCTTGGTTAGGGTAACACATACACTCAAGTAGGTTGTTTCCATCTGGATACTCAATTTCTACCCCACGCAATTATCTTAAATATCACATTTGACCATTTCAGAGTGTCTTTTTTCTTTTTGAAGGAGGGAGGGTTGGTCATGGGGCTTGAACTCTGGGCCTGGGAGCTGTCCCTCAGCTCTTCAGCACAAGGCTAATAATGCTCTACCATTTAAGCCACAGCACCACTTCTGGTTTTCTGGTGGTAACTGGTGATAAAGAGTCTCATGGACATTCCTGCCATGGGTTGGCTTTGAACTGGGACCCTCACATCTCAGCTTCCTGAGTAGCCAGGATTACAAATCTGAGCCACTGTCACCCAGCTCGTGGTATTTTTTATGGATTTTTTTCACCCCTGAAATAAAAGTCTGGCTAACTCAGGTTGGCCTTTTAAACTTGTGAGATTTCTACTGTAACCTCCCAGTGCTGAGACTAGATATATGCTACCATATCTGGCTTCATAGTATTTTTTAGGGTTTTATTTTTTTTTGGGGGGGGGTCAGTCGTGGGAATTAAACTCAGGGCCTGGGCACTATCCCTGAGCGTTTTTGCTCAATGCTAGGGCTCTACCATTTTGAGCTACAGCACTACTTCAGTCTTTTTTTTGCAGTATACTGGAGATAAGTCTCATAGACTTTCCTGCTCAGGTTGGCTTTGAACTTTGATCCTCAAATATTGACCTCCTGAGTAGGTAAGATTACATAAGTGTGAGCCACCACGGTCTAGCACTTCATAGTATTTCTTATTCACAACTGCTGCTCCCAAGGTACAGATCTATCAAGCTCTATCTCCTCCCCTCCAAATATTCTTATATGGACCAAGCAGTTGATGAACCAATTCTTAACAAGTTCAGTGTATGTTCACTTTCAATGGCTGTCTTATAACGAACAAAACCAGAGAGCCTATCCATGAACTTATAGAACTATACAATCTTACTCTATATACCCTGGTAACCATAACTTTCTAGATAAACCTGCTGAAAATCTTACTCCATGCAAACTTAATTACTACTCCTTATAGAAAAAAAAAAAATCAACATTTTTGTACCTTATTCTTTATTTAAACAGTTTTACCTTCCTGTAAATATCTGACATGGTTATTAGGCTATCATGAATCCTTCAAGGACAAGAGTTCATATAGGTTTCAGGCAGTTAACAAACCCCCACAAAAACAATAGGGGGTGGCACAATCTTTACCCAGAAAGAACTATTATTGCCCTAGTCCAGAACAGTTCAGCTGGTTCAAGTCAACATAATCCAGAAAGGGCTGGGAAGGTGGCTCAGTGGTAGAGCACTTGCCTTGCATGCATGAGGCCCTGGGTTCGATTCCTCAGCACCACATAAGCAAAAAGAAAAAAAG